AAGTGTAGCGCAAACTTGAATGTTCAAAGTTGAGTTTCAGTTTTACCTCCTAATCCTTGCAGTTCCATGGTTTTACCTCTTTATCTCTAAACCTTAAAACTTAGAGAAGTAAGGCCACCCTCAACCCTTCTACCCTTGGTTTCCACCCTGTGCATCACAGATTGCCTCAGCTTCACTTCCAGACTTAGACTCTTTCTTACCACTTCTGCTTTGTTGCCCGTGCTCAAGCCACATTATCTGTCAGCTGAGTAATTGCTAGCACACCCCAAAGTGCTCCCTGGTTCTGCCCCAGCCTTCCCCACCCTGTCCTTGGGACGGCAAACACAGTCATCATTGTAAAATGCAAGTCAGATCATGGTGCTTTTCAACTTTCTCTTCACCGCCAGTAACATTCCTTCTTGCTCAGAATAAAACTCCACGTCTTCCCTGAAGCCTAAAAAGGCCCTCTATCTTCTGGCTCATTTTCTGTCCCTTACTTGCCCTACTGCCACACATGGGCATGCTTGCTGTTCTTCAGCCATGCTACCCTCCCATACCAGGGCCTTTGCATTTGTTTCCTTTGCTGGAAATGGACTTCGGTGGATGTCTACAGGTTTATTCCCTCACTTCCTTTGGGGCTCTGACTAGGTTGTACCATCTTACTGAGAGGACTTCTCTGACCTCATCCAGCTTAGCATCCCTAGTACTCCTTATCCCTTACCTTGCTGAGTTTTTAATTTACCATTTGACTTCATACCTTCCTTGGTCTACATATGCACTGTCTCTATTCCTTTACTAGACTATAAATTCCTTAAGAGAGGGTTTTTGTTTGGTTTACTCCTATGTCCTTAGGACCTACTATGGTACCTGGCACAGAGCTGGCACTTAGAATTATATTCATTGACTAAATAAATGACTGAAAAAGGGGATTTTCTTTTTTCCTGTTTTCTATGACATACGTTTTGTGGTTTTCCTCATGACTCTGGCTCAATTCTAACTCAGTATTATTTGTGGTTCCTCTTAGTCACCTGTCCCTGAATTGTTGGTGACCCCAGGGTTCTGTTCTAGAGGCCCATCTCAAATCACCTACATGTACCCTTGGTTGTCCCCTTGGCTTTGGCCAACACTCATATGTTAATGATGCCTAGATCTGTATCTTCAGTGTAGAAACTTCTTCTCCAGCTCACATTTTATTTCTCTCATGCTACCCCATTTCTCCCCTAGGGTAACTGTAACAATTTTGAAACTGATCTCTTTACTTTTACCTGGCCCTCTCTATTATTTGCTTATTTTTTTAAAATTATTTTTTATTAAATCATAACTTTGTACATTGATGCATTTATGGGGTTCAGGGTACTGCTTTGATATATAATGTGAAATGTTTATATTGAACGAAGTAACATATCCATCACATATTTACTTATTTTTTGAGACAGAGGGCTCGCTTTGTTACCCTGGGTAGAGTGCTGTGGTATCATAGCTCACTTCAAGCAATCCTCCTGCTTCAGCCTTCCTGAGTCTCTGGGACTACAAGTGTGTGCTATGACACCCAACTAATTTTTCTATTTTCATTATAGACAGTGTCTCAGTTTTGCTCAGGCTGGTCTTGAATTCCGGAGCTCAAGCAAATACTCCTGCCTTAGCCTCCCAGAGTGCTAGGATTATAGGTGTGAGCCATTGGCACTAGGCCTGTTATATTTAATCCTCATAGTACCCTGACTTTGCATTTAACCCTTTGACTATGGAGTACTCAGAAATAAAATGTGCTAATTGAGGCACGCAGTGATTAATCGCAATAATCCTTACCATACACAGTGAGTTACTATTCATTATCATGAAAATGCAACATTCTGTTTGTATTTGCAAAATTAACAACGCCTATGGAAGGTTCACGCCAAGAGGAACATCTTGTTTGCCTATAGGTATTGTTCATAGTCCAAAGGCTAAGGAAACTGAAGCCTAGAGGGGTTAAGTAACTTTTTCAAAGCAATTGGCCTACAGAGCTGGTATTTGAACCCTGTAGGTCGGCCTGACTATGAAGACTGTGCCCTTATCTATTACAGCATGCTGCTTCCTGCTGGGCAAAGAGGGCATCTAACCCAGCAGAAAGGCCTGAGAGGGTGTTGCAACCCCCTACTCACCCAGCAATTTAGAAAGAGGGTTGTCCCATTGTATCTCTCCCATGAGGTGTCTGGGCATTTTCTAGATGCAAAAACTGTTATTTGAGATCATTCCATGATTCATCCTGATCTTGTGATGCTTGAAACACCTTCAGGACCTCTTTTACTGTGTTTTGGTTTAGCTTTTTATCCAGAGAAATTGAGTCCTGGTTAGGATTTGAAAGCTTTCCTTCAAGTTCCAGCTTAGGTTATTGCAAATATATGAAAAATTAGGGCGAGTGTGCAATTATTTAAACCCAACTACTAGAAATTAACTAGGAGAGCACTCTTTCTAATTGGCTTCATGACTATTACATGGAAGGAAAATTCATGGGTGGCAACACTTCTAAGAAAGAATTCAAATGAAATAACCTGCGAGACAGCTTGTCTCAAGTCACAAATGTGAAAAATACAATAGCCTGAGATATACCTACATCCAGAACAATAATGCAGCACACTTGTTTTAGGAACTTGCCTCTAGGCCTATTTCCTCTGTGGGCTCCACGCGCATAGCCATTCACCAGTTCATTCACTGTACACAGTTGAGGACACACTGTGTGTACCCTCATGGGGAAGCCATGTGGGAGATTTTAGATGGCCCTTTTGGATTGAACACCATAGTCCTATCCTCAAGGAGCTCAGGGTATTCCACAAGGCCAAGGGAGAAATAAGCCAGAGGGACAGAGGCTTGGTGTAGGGGCCGCAGCCCTGGGAGAGGACTCCTGACAGCTGGGTCTTGGCTGGTAGAGCTTCCTGGATCCATCAGCAGCAGTCATCTCCTCCGTCTCTGCCACTGCATGCTATCTTGGTGACACGGCCCAAGTTCCCTGAAGGCCAAGGAGGAAACATCTATTTGGCAGCTATCTGTTCACACTGCTTCCTCCATAATCTGACTATGAACTTCTGGAGGCTGGGAACCATCTGAACCCTGGGGCCTCACCTCCGGCCTGGTCCACAGAAATGGCTGCTGGGAGAAGGAGGGAGAGTTTAAACTCTCAGCCTCAAATAGGCGTTCTTCCTGTGGCAGTGGGAGAAATTTGGAAGTACAGCACGTATAGGAAATGGAATTAAAAAAATCAAATGGCACACATGGCTAAAGACTAATTTTTAGGATTTTTTTCTGGGGGAAAAGCTCAGAAACTTACATAGCTCATGAAAACCTTCTCTGTGGGTTTGAGGTGTCTCTGGATCTCACAGTCCATGGGGTGAATGACCATGATGCCATTGTCGGAGAAGACGTAGAACATGTTTCCCACGCTGAGGCCTGGGAGGAGTAAATGGACCGGTCATGCCCCTCCCAGCAGTTGGCACCCAGGCAGGGCAACATGGGGCACACAAGGAGGCAGCCACATGGACGCAGTTGGTGTGAGCATAAAATGCAATTCCTGCGAGATGGGGTGAAGGGAGTGAGTGACAGGTAGAGAAAGGGCCCCAGGGACTGGGAGTCAGTAAGTATGTCCTGGTTTCTATAGTCCCCAGGCTGTCTTCCCTAAGTCATCTAGGGTTGGCCACCAATATAGGGTTTCAAGTAAAAGGTGGCCTTGGCTTTGACATACGTTTAATCTTTCTAGTTCTAAAAATGAAAACCTCCCTTGGTCATTCATTGTCAACTAGTCAAATTGGAATAGATCAGACAATGCCAAAAAAGCAAAGGCTATTATTTTTAAGAACATGTTTGTGTATAGCATTACTCCCTGATTTGTGAGGTCCTAACAATGCTGTGACTCCTCTGCCCAAACTCAGTCCTGGCCTGTCTGTGTCAGTTAACCTCTCCTTCCAGATAGCACGCTCCCATTCTGCACCCCCAGTTTCTCCATAGAAGCCCAAGGCCAGGCAGCGAAGCCCATACCCTGGTCATGCTCACCCGCTCACCTCACCCCGGCCCAGGGCTATGGATATGGATGTCTAGGGAGAAGATTTACCTGAATCTAGTTCAGCCTCCTTATTTTAAAAACACACTAAAGTCCAAGGAGGAAAAGGATCTTGGCTGAGGTTACATGTTTTGTGCCAGAGCTAGAGTTAGACCTTGGGACTTACCTTTGGGCCTCTGTCCTTCCATAGAGGAGAAACATGGCACAAAGATGTGTAAGGTCTAGAGTTCCTTCTCCCTGTTCCTTCCCCTTCCTTCCTTCTTTCTTTTTCTCATCTCCTTCCTTCTCTCTCCTCTTCTCTTCTTTCTCTTCCTCCTTTCCTAGATAGAGTTTGCTCTGTTGCCCAGGCTAGAGTACAGTGGCCCCATTATAGCTCCAAACTTCTGGACTCAAGCAATCCTCCTGCTTCAGCCTCTTGAGGAGCTGGGAATATAGGCACATGCCATCATGCTGGCCTAATCAATCTTTCTTTTCTTTCTTCCTTCTTCCCTTCCCTTCCCTTCCCTTCCCTTCCCTTCTTTCCTCTCTTTTCTCTCTTTCTTTCTCTCTCTCTCTTCCTCCCTTCCTTCCTTTCCTCCCTTCCTTTCTTCCTTCTTTTTGTAGAGATGGCGTCTCACTCTTGCTCAGACTAGTCTTGACCTCCTAACATCAAACAATTCTTCTGCCTCAGCTTCCCAAAGTACTAGGATTACAGGCATGAGACAT